GTCAATTTGCCGTGTGCACGTGACAAGGAGTAGGGTCGCCTGTCCAACCTTCAACTACTAAAGAATCCTACGCGCAAGAGAATTATTGAAATAAAATTGAACCATATCTTAGTCCAAAAATGACCTAGTTTTGTCGAATGAGCATTGAAATTACAAGTTTTCTTGTATGCTGTTCGTGGTTCTCCCTTGTCAGTGATGCAGGACGGAGGGGCTGACAAGGAAAGCTGTCTAGTCGTTCGGATGGAACGAAAAACCGAGGTCCCGTGTACACATTGGCGTGCACGTAAAAGATCCCTTGGCAGTTGGAATTCGATATAAGAGTAGGCCGTAGTGCCGCTGCCCGGGCAAAATTTCCCTCATAGCACACTGTATGGCGTATGCCCGTCTTCATTAGCCCAGGTTAGAAGCAGAACAGTAGGACGTTAAACCCCATTTCATTTCATTTGTATGCTGTTCGATTTGAATATTAAGATTTCCATAGTGAATCTCATACGTGCTTTTGAACGAGGCGTTGCCACATTTGCTTCATCTGTTGTAGATCGAACATTAAAATCTGCGGGGAAATCAATGGTGACCGAGGGTCATATGGCGGTCTTTACAATATTTTTTTTTAAATCCAATAGTCTCGAACACCTAGATTATGTATAGTATAGATTTTGCTGGTTTCACTTTTTGAAACGAAGTAACTCCACTATCAACAATTGGTCTCATTTCACCTTTTATAGCCCCATTGACTCAGTAAGAATTTGGATCGCTAACGGTCTCTTGTTCGATCCTGGTGTTGGCCGACAAAGTTCGTCGGCATTTTTCCGGCGTGGTTCGAATTGGCGTGCACGTAAAACAATCAGATTAGTCATGTCTTCATTATCCCAGTCAGTACAGAAAGGTAAGAGATTTAAGATGGAACTCAATAACACCTGTATGGCATTGTTCTTCGGAATGTTTAATATCCAAGTACTAGTAGGTGCCTTGCTCCAATAATAGAAAAATTGATAAAAAAAAATATAAAAAAATAGGTATCCAACAAAACAAGCTGATTAAAAAAAAGTCCTAGGAGTTGGTGGCAAAATAATTATAATTAATCTTATGTCGTTTACACAGACACATTTAATTACGACGTCACAATTAATTACGATAATTAGGTGGTATTCCTTTTATACCTCTGGCTATTTTTGTTTTTGGGTTTCGTTTTAGTTTCTTTGTGTTTCTTAATTTTTCTACTAAAAACTGAATTATAAAAATGGTATAGCTGTCAATAATAAATCAATGTTTTTTTTCATGATTATTGTTTTGAAATTTTAATGAGATTCTAAGATATGATGTTACACACTGTGAATGTGATGTGAACTATGTACTATGTCGTTTTATTGTTTTTTTTAAATACAGCAAAAAGAAAAATACAAAGAATTAAAAAGTAAAAAAAAAGTAAAATTGGCCACATAGCTCACTGTATGGCACAAGCCCGTGTGCCCAGTTGGTGCAGAACATTTAAATTACAAGTATAGTCTATATGCCCTACTTATCACCGTAAACAACCAATAAACTTTGGCATTCTTGAATACATGAATCATTAATATTCACCAAATCAATTCGGAATATGTAACTTCAGGCTATTAGATTCCACACCACAATGGCTAAAAACGTCATAGAAATGGAGACGGGGAGAGGGGGGGGGGAGAAATACTATAAATAGAAGAGATTGGGAATTTTTGAGTGTTCGGTGTTTATTACCAAATTACATTACTTTCAATGGCTTTTTCATTTGCAAGAGTTTATGTGTAAAATCAATGAAATAAAACGATACCTACATAAACACCTTAACTTAAATGCCTAAACACCGTAACTCAAATGCCTAAACACCGTAACTTAAATGCCTGCTGGATTGTTAACTATAATTACATCCCATTTCTACTCGTTGCCACTGGCAACCTTTGATAAAACTGTCCTGTTTAATTGCAATACATGCATAAAAGTAACCGTGTATCAGAAATGTACAGAAAGAGTACTGTTCATTTCTGATACACGGATACTTTCATACCGTTTTAGATACCTATCAAGCAATAAGTAGCGGACGTTTAGTCCGACCCAGATCGCAATTGATAACGATGGCTCTAAACAATGTACATGAAACAACTAGTCAAAATCATAGTAACAAAACAAAATGGGGGGAACTACATGGCAGTTCAAAAACATATACAATGACATTAAATTAACATAACAACATATTACAAATTATTATACATATCAATTGGCATCTATTTCATAATTTGGTTTGATTTATATTAATATGCAAAATATATCAATTAGAATATTGAATAATTATTTTAATTAATTGTGATGATAGAAGAGGCAGTTCTCTTGCTGGGCACTTCACAGGCATTGAAAATAAGCAGGATGAAAAAAACGCCTAGAAAGTCATAAACTTTATTACAAATAAATTTCAACGGAAGAACCATCCGCCGATGCATACTTTCACCAGGAATGACCACGTTTCGCATTTCCTTTACACTACATTTAATAATATCGCAGTCCTCTACGCCATAGACAAGTTGTTTTGACGATGTGGTCTAAACAAACACGTGATTGTTTTACGCTCAGAGTATCATAGCAAGACGCACGTGTAAATACTACTCAGGTCGTCTCTCCACTGCGAAATCATTCTACCATGAAATGTAACGTGAGGCTCAGAAAGGGATAAATAATGAAAGAGCAGAAAGTATCTGTCACTTTTCGGTTGAAACGACTCGATATCATATACCATTTTTCACATTTTGCTTCACAATAGAAATGTGATGTAAGTAACTTATTAGCACCTTTCCTCGGTATTCACCGATACACCTCGGAAAGTGTGCTAATAACTACTACTTAACTCGAGCTGTTCAGTGGTGGGAGAAGAAACCCCCGGTATATCCCTCCTACTTCGAATAGCACAGATTGTTTGTTATCGCAGCAATGGTACTTGACAATCGAGACTGGAATCACCATTTTTAACTTAAATTATTAAATAGCGATTGTGTGTGTTTCAATCCGATGGTTTTGAGAGTTGATTATAGGCTTGTTATTTTATTAAATGGCTAAATAATACCTTAGCAATAGGAAGATTTAGCTCTTACACAGTGCATCTTTAATGAACTTTGTATATCCGCTAGGATTTACAGTAAGATATTTTAATTTTAATTTCGAGACCTTTTGAAATTTGCAGTAGTTTATCCCTCGGGAGCCACGGTGGCTAAGTGAGTAAGACGCTGATTCGCTAGTATGGCGGTCGTGGTTCGCTCCCAGTGTTGGCCAAGAAAGTGCATCGTGATTTTCCGGCGTGGTTTCTCTTTGTTAGTGGATGAGGAAGGAGGTCCAGACAAGTACAGCTATCTAATCGTTCGGACGGGACGAAAACCCGAGGTTCCGTGTACACATTGGCGTGCACGAAAAATATCTCTTGGCAATTGGAATTCGATATAAGAGTAGGCCGTATTATGGTGCCGCTGTCCGGGCAATATTTCCCTCATAGCACACTGAATGGAGTATGCCCGGCATCACTAGCTCAGTCGCAGCAGAGCAGTAGGACGTTAAACCCCATTTCTTTTCATTTTATCCCTTGTGTGATAGTGTAGACCAGTGTTCTCCGAGAAATTCCATGGGATTTCCTGGTCTGGTTTCCCCATGTCAGTGGTGCAGGACGGCGGACCTTGCAATGAAATCTCTATTCATTCAGACGGGACAAAAATAAGGACGTACCGTGTACACAATGGCGGGAATGTAAATGAACGTTTGGGAAATAAATGTAGATATAAATGTAGGCCGTAGCGCTGCTGTCCGGGCAACAATTTCCCTCTTAGCTCACTCTATGGCGTATGCCCGTCTTCATCAAACCAGTCGTTGTAGAAGAGTAGGACGTTAAACACAATTTCATTTACTCGCTACAAATAGTATGTACTTGTAATTCGAACGTACTGTCCTTCATTGTAATTGAAATAATATATTATTTGTACATATGTCGCGTCGAGATAAATCTGGATTCATATTTTGAAATATGATCATTGTTAATTCTACTAATTTAGATTATAAGATAAGATTTAATCCCACAAACCAAATATTTAACTTAATGTAATTAACTGAAAGGAAAAAGGAGATCAATTTAAGAGTCTGCCTTGGGACTTTCAGCCTTTTACATGTAAGTTTTGCTGAAAAAAAACCCATCGAACACAGAGGAACTGAAATTATTTTGTTCGCTTTAAATTAAATCAAACCAGTATAAAATGTCACTTCCGTTTCTTTTATCCATGCATATCTTCCGATTTTGTTATGAATGCTATTAACTTCTTAAAGCACAGCCAAACAATCCTTTATGCGCTTGCGGATATGAGTTTTGATACCTTTTAATCTGTCCATTACAATCAGATATCTGTAATTAACAATACTCATCTCTTTCTTATACATACACTCTTAATTTCAATTTAGAGATTATTAAATTGCACAAATGATAATATCGTTTCAGTTAGGATATTTAAAAACGTTCATGGGCCTTTGGGTATTTATAAGATTATAATTGCAAACCTGAATTAATAGTTTCGTTCATTACATTTCCGTCAATTAGTCGTAGCTATCGTTTCATGTATTGCTTATATATAGATCTATTTTGTATATACCATTGGTAAAATGGGATATAAGTAATACAGACCTAGTTTGTTCTCGAATCCTTGTCAGTGAAAAGAAAAATATGTGTTATTATTTCCACGTTGCAAACTCTTTACAAGTAATGTATTATAACAGGCCGACGTTTGCACTTGTGAAAGGTGCGGGGCGCGGGACCCCTCAGGGAACATTGTGTAGTCGTTTGGGTGGTACTGACAAAGTAGGTCTCGTGTACACGTCGGTGAGCCTATAAAAGAACCGTTACAATTTGATGAATAATTAGCCTGTTTTAAAATATATCTGGGATTCCCCACTAAGAATAGATCTTTGATGAAGAACATGTTCTTTATCATTTTTCAGATATATGCAGAACATCCTAAGAACATGAACAAGATACTGTCACTGGTTATGATAATAAGTCTTTTGGCTGTAGTCACAGAAACTGTCCCCATCGCAGGTAATTTACATGTCCATCCAAGTCCATAATTGATATCCAATTCCCTAAATCCTTAACTTTTCTTATTTCTTGACACAAATGTGAAAATAAAATGACAGCTACGAAAAGGATGGAAATACGCCAACAGAGCAGCTGTCTCAAAAGCAACTTTCTGGACACATATTATATCTCCGGAAAAGAAATTGCTAGATAGTTGAAAATGAACAGGGTTCACCCTTTCCGATCCCAATGCTTACATAGAACAATATGGGTTTGTGTAATTCATGAAGTGTGTCTCTCGTGACTCCAACTCTTAAAACCAAAATAGAAAAGAATCAGTCATAAACTGCAATCTCCACCACAATAACAATGTTTGAGACAGAATGGGATAACTCAGGAACGAGAGAGTGTTGAAATCGATAGGATCGACTTCTCATTAACCCAATGCTTTAAGTCCATTCAAAACCTTGAGCTCTCATAATGGAAAACTGCTTCATACCAATTTTGCAAAATATCCTTTACGGACTATAGCCTCTATCGAGTTAACAAGAACATTTCCTGTGAGAATGAAAGGGTTAAAACAAATGTCGTAGAGTGCTGAAAATCGATGGGGATCATCCTTGTAATATCTACAATCATCATACCAGATTCGCAACAAAATTATCAAAAACCCTAACCTCTATCGAGTTAAGAAAATAATAGTCGACTAACATTGACGACGACGATATACGCGCAAACTACGTGTGGCGTGTATAAAAAAGTCCAGCTTAACCGGAGTGGGGCCCTGGGCCTGACTACAATCGCGGGGCCCCTTTTGAATGGGACGCATGCGTAACACACAAATGAACGGTCTGTAATACAAGAATAATTACATAATATCTGATCGCATACGAAATCTATTCAGTTCCCAATGGCATACAAGTCTAGAAGCCTAGACCGATCACCGAGTGGAACTTCACAGAAAAGGTTGAGGGATAGCTCAGTCTCCGCCCTCGCGCCGCTAGATCGATTACCGTGAAACTTTTATCTGGAATTTGAATTTTTTCTTTTTTTGCCATGAACCGCGAGGCCTCAGGCCCATGCCTAAGCTGGGCTTTGGCAGCACTTATTGATCAAATATTGGAAACCGTCGTTAAACGCCATTCAGCAGCAGCACCATTGACATCATATATAGACGAACATGAATCTAGAATCTCGAGATCTAACGAAGGTCAACACAGATTACCGAGACTTCCCGATATCAATCTCCCACCAACTGACCCCAGTCCGGTTCTGCTCACAAGTTCCGTATCTCATCTTGTTGAATAGCTTTTCTGGGGAACTTTGCGATGAAAATTACCATATTGTGCTGTAGTGACGATTATTCTAAATAGTGATCTCGGGGTCGTTCTATTATTATCATTGCCTTAGTGTCCGATCTCGGCGATGATGTGGTATACGATTTTTATAATTCAAGTTTAATTTTTCAGATTTATTGAGAGTACGAAGAGATGATGTGCCAGCCGGAACAGAAAGCGATGAGAACCAAAACAGTACTACTTTAAGCGGGGGTAAGTTGCTATTGAGTTGGGAAGGTGGTGTGCCTCAAAGTGAGGCGCAGACGCACTAATCTTGAGTTCCTCAAGGTTTTCCGGCCTGATTTACCCTTGTCACAGATGGAACGGATGGTCGAGTGGTTTGGGCGACACGAAACCCCGTTGCTCCGTATACACATTAGTGTACAAGTAAAATACCTCTTGACAGTGTATCTTTAGTAATGGAGTAGACCGTGTGCCGCTGTACCGATAAAATTTCCATCATACCACACTGTATAGCGCATATCCATCTCCATTAGAAAAGTATGTGAGATCCTAATTGTAGGCCGGTTCGGAAATGATAGGGTTAGTATTCCCCAAAATATTAATTCATATAAAGCGGCCACGGTGGACTCCGAAAATGCCCAAACCTCCCCAACCGGCCTACAATTAGCATCTCCAAATGCAGATGGATGTCAAGGTCCTTATCCCCCAACCCTACTACTGTCTTACAAATAAAGTTCCGTCTTTAGATTCAGACATTGCTCGGAAATAGAGGACATATGTTTTAGGTACCCATGCACTATGGAATGTTCGTGCGATGTAATTGTGTTAATCATCTCTTGTCAAAAAAGAATAAATACAAACTGTTTTCAGTAAAAAAATAGAACTCATTTCAGTGGCCAGGTTATTGCTTGACGATTAATCTGGTAGTTGCGTATATTCTCCTACGCACAGATTATATTTATCAAAATGGCGTTCATATCTTACAACCTAATCATTAATGTATTCCTCGTTGAATGAATTAATATCAATTTCTGATCAAAAGTAATTCCAAGTTTGTATAAAATATTGATGTTTTATGTTGTTTTGTTATAACAAAAAGAGTCCTTTAAGGACATCAAATATTAAGAAATGACATAGATGGGTTGCAGAACAAACGAGTTATCTAAAGCTACTGGTGCTGGTGCTGGGTGGGGCATTTGAATGTTTAAAGACGTATTATATAAGATGTTGATGAAGGGCTGGTCTTTCGTGCTAAAATACTTTAAAGATTGATGATCAAATAAATATATTGAACATTTCAGCCAAATTTCTTTATTCTGAGTGAAGTTATGAATGTTCGAAATTTTGACAAGTAACACTGACACTGTAAAAAAAAAGAAGTCTCGATTCTCATTCCTCTATTTAGCAGCGTCCGTAAATGGGGTCCAGTTTAACAACGCTATGACATATTTTGTCTAGTCCGCTCAATATCTTAGCCATCCGATGATCTAGAGGGTTGATTATGGTCTTGATATGGAGTGGCGAAATGCCTAAATGATAATTTATATAACACGTGAAGCAAGGATATAGACTGGCAAAAGGCATATTTATCTCTTACATAATTGCTTATGTGTGATGCTTTCCTCGTGCACTTACTATAATGCATCTCCGAAAAGACCCACAATTTCCTTCACTTACTCTCAAAAGCACTGAATATCTTTAAATGGAGAGTTTTTTTGGTTTTTTTTGTTTTTTTTGTTGGTTTTTTTTTTAATGTAAAATTTAAATAATACAAAAATGCTTGGCGAGTAGCCAATGCCCCTGTCTCAATACCTACAAGGTTCCGGGTTTGAGCCTGGTGTTGGTCGAGTAGCCTTCTTACTCCTTGTCATTGGTGTATGGCGGAGGGCCTGTCAAGGACTAGAGTGAAGCCGTTCAAATGCGACAAAACTCCTAGTTCCCTGTATTTTATGGAATGTTACCCGTTACAGTAGGAAATTGAAATAAAAATCGGGCATATACAATCATTCAACGAAAGACTGCTGGATGATTGTGGAAACGAAGTGATCGAACCATTAATAATAATAGAATAATAGTAGGCCGTAGCATTGTATTTGTGGAAATATCTGTCATCATAGAACAATGCATATGCTATGCCGTTTCCCCGGTTGGACCAGAGAAGTAAGTTGTTAAACCCCATTTAATAGTGTATTGAAGTGAAATGAAATGAGCCAACCGGGATAATGAAGCGAACCATTCGCTATACAATGTACAATGGGATTTAACGTCCACATTGATGCGCACGTAGAAGAAACTCTGGAATTGGGAAATTGAGGAAGACAGGGCGGAAACGCCAATGCCCAGGCATAGCACACAGCATGGTTAATGCAGAACGTTCAAATCTAGAACAATATGTATATCATAATTCATTCTGCAATGTATCTATTTGTTGATCCACTACATGGCTTATCCACAACGACAGGCTATTTATCCATGGTGATTATAATATTAAAGCGCAAATTGCAAATTTTCAAGTTATATTTTTAAAATGTATGAAAATAAAGCCTTAAAATAGATGGTATCCATAAACAGTCCTACCTTGTTAATCCTATAATTCGCTATTGCCAGCTGAGAAATTGGCAAAAATATCATTTTTAACTTCAAGTTCCAACGTTGGAAAATGGCTGCCCCATGTTGTCAATAGCAAATCAGGGGAGGTAATTGTGTTGTTATTTCCTGTGTCATAGATTTTTAAGGGTGGGAAATTATGCCCATGATCGTATAATAGTGATTTGATAACCTTTTGAGCAAAAGACATAGAAATAATTATGTTTTGACTTTCTTAGAAAGTTTGAAATTCTCGCTTTAATCTTTCACTCAAATATTAATACAATTAAATTTATTTTCTAACGTCTATGTCTAACATTTTTCATAGAGCTGGACGTACCTGTGGATTCTATATTCTAACGTGTCTGGCATGGTCAAATTCTTGGAAATGGATCTTAACGAATAAAACCAGTGACAAATTCCACTTGTTTTGGTAAAAGAAAAGATAACAACCTTTCGGGGACATGTAGATTTATCCTGAAGTTTCCGGAAATAACTGAACTTTTGAGAATACAAAATACAATTTCCGGATCAAAAGAGGAGTATTCCGGAACTTAAATATATTTCTAAATACAAATATGTTTTTAATAAGACAAAATTGAATTTCTGGACACGCGAAGACATTTAGCGAAAAGAAAAATGAAGGTTTGGTAAACACAAAGCGAAATTTCAGTTCATAGCTGGTTGATCAAACTTTATGTCATTAACTTTTGACGAAGTCTGTTTGGCGAAGATAAAACATAACTTCCTGGCACATTAACGTTCGACGAAGTTCGTTTGGCGAAAAGCTTGTTTGGCGAAGGTAAAACATAACTTCCTGGCATTAACGTTCGACGAAGTTAAAACCGAATATTATCCTGGTATATATGGACGTGAGACAAAATTCAATGGACTCTTGCCAAAGACTAAAGTACAAAATTGAATATCCAGACATAATGAGTGATTGGCGAAACCAGAACTAAATTGCTGGACATAATTAGACATTTTAGCACGTTATAGAATGTATCCGGAAATAACGAATTAGGTGGGCATAATTTTGGAATCCGTATAAACTTCACATAATAAATTTAATTGTATATGTTTACAAATATGCCATAACAGCCATTTAACCCTTGTCGGTGCACGTGGGGTCTCCGTGGACCCCATGCACATGTTTTATAGTGTTGTGTAATAACTACTGGGCACTGCTTTTTGAAATTTAGTGACTTTGTCTCCTATACATTTTTACACGTAGTGAAGAACTCGGTATTCATCTGCTTCCCACATGCAGAGTTCTGTTACATGCAAATCAGGCCCAACGTTTGAAGATAACAAGGGGTCCAATCGGACCCCTAACTTAAACAACTCAACGTAGGGATTTTGCTAATGTATTTGCTGCCTAATACCATATTGCGTATGCCAGAGTATTCTCTCTTTTAGCAGCTGCATGTTACAAATACCAAAAATTAAATGATGAATTCAAGATATTCAATGGTTTTTGTATCAAGCGTGAATTGCCATTTTAACCTCTTTATCACATAGTACACAAAGTATCAATTTTGTGAGAATTATTAAATCTTTTCCAAATGTCACTAAAATGTTTTTGTAAAATAATTTAGTTGTTTTTCAGTTGTCAAATAGAGGAAGGCAAATAAAAACTAAACCGCTGCCTTTTAATTCAAATATATCTGTACGTAAAAACTTTGAATTATAACTGGGGTCCATAGGGACCCCTGATACCTGCTATGTGATTCTCATAACGTGAACCCACAAAGGTTAATACTAACTTTTTGCTTTGTTTTCTTACAGAAAAGTTCCCTGATAGGATAAGCGAAGGAATTGGCTTTTGCTGCAATCCCGGTGTGTGACAGGTCTCCATGGTTTAGTTGTCGAAGACATTTGAGATGTTATGGTTAATAAACACATCTTTAACCGTCACTATCTGTGTTGCTGGTATATTGTATAGCGAATCACTGCCCATTTAACACAGACGAGGCTGGTGGTCGGGTGGTCGAGTGTCTAGATGCGCTTTAGAGCATATTAAGGGCTGCCATTGAGTCAATTAAGTGGCGTGATTTCAATCCCAAACCTGTCCGTGACGCCTGTCCAACCGCGTAGGTTCTCACCCTCTCCTAAAGACCTCTACGCGCAATTGAATTAAAGAAATAAAATTGCACTTATATTTAGTCCCGAATTGACCTAGTTGTGCCCAGTGGACGCTAACTCCCCTCTCGCGATATAGTCATTTACATATAAATTATGTGGATTCTGCATGTCCATATAAGTCGTTATGTATCATACAAAAAACATTTAATGGAGATGGCGATAAAATGTAATCCAGCCATTAATAATATAATATAATAATATTTCACATCGTGGGTATTAGTTCTGCTCCCGTGTAGCGTGTGCTTTATAAGTAGAAAAAAAAAGACATCTACTTTTTTTTACTTTTAACGGATTAAATCCACCTACCATTAAATGAACATTGGGGTGGTGACTTTTTTCCAGATAAACATTACACATACCCTGGCGATTGGTAAGAATGAACAAGAAAGCAAATATAGAGTTTTTTGATGTTTCGTAAATAATGAATGGGCAATTCGTATCTTTGACAAACCTTGCCAATCCGGTTGTTGAATATTATCAATTAATGAAAATGAAATTCAGCAACCGGGTTAATGAAGACGGACATGCAGCAACGGGGTTAATGAAGACGAGCATACACCAAACAGTATGTGTGACAAGGGAAATTTTGCCAGAAAACAGCGACCCAACCTACTTTTATTTCGATTTCTAACTGTCAACGGCTCTTTTGCTTTCATCAACACGTGTGTACGGGGCATCGGTGGTTTGTGTCATCCGACAGACTTGAGGTTGTTCACCGGAAGCCCCTCCGTACTGTACCACACTGGAAATACCGAGGACAATTCTCGGAAAAAAGCGGGGCCGAACCCGAGACCAGCTGTTTAACAAGCCAGCTTCATACACATTGAATTACAATGTGTAATCAAACACGACTTGAACAAATATTCACAATATCTGCCACAATTCAGTTTGAAATGTACACGTGCAAACACAGATTGGTGCATTCAAAACACATTCTAAAGATTAAAAAATATGTTGTGGTACAACAGCCAAATGATACCGTTCGTTAGATTTATCAAAACATATTTTTGAATTTATGGGCGTAACCCTTAGAACTCCCCGTCTCCAGAGATATTCTGTTCATCGGATTTACATATGGAAAACACGTTTCCAAAACAAAAGAGATATGCTAAAGTAAGCAATGATAATAATATAAAGGGAACACTCTACAGACAGAACAATAGATGAATGTCATATATGTCCCATGAGGAATGGTAATTTGATTAAACAAAACAATATCATAGTAATGTAAGCATTTATTCATAAGTATATCTTTTATACCACGTTTAATAAGCCTTATTTCTTATTGTGACAGATCAATGATTATGCCCTCAGCAGTTATGAATCGGTAATCTGCACTACATTGTCCTTGGTTGGAACTCCTACGTCTGTGCGAATGATATGGAATGACTGTTCAGTTCTGGCTAAAGGGCGCCGCTCCAGAGAGAGAGAGAGAGAGAGAGGAGAGAGAGGGGGTAAGGAGAGAGCGTGTATCGTGAACTCGACACACTTAAGGTCATTTCGGGACTAACATATAATACAATTGCGTGTAGGTGTATTTATCAGTCGGCGGGGGGGGGGGGGGTCCGGGGGCTCCCCATGTAAAACTCTTAACTTTGGAAAACACTTTTCGTAAATGCTACGAATCAATTCGTTTTCTATTTAGGTTTTTAGGTTTACACGGTTTATCAAAAATATACCAAGACAATACAATACAGTTTCCTTAAAATCAGATATTTTTTTCGTTTCGTTCACCCCACTGAATTTGAAAGGCGTGTGCAATAATACATTTGACCTGGGCCCGGTACCTAGAAAATTCTTGAAGTAAGCAAAACGTTATGCTTCACTTTTTCTTACGTAAGAAACTTTTAAAATACCGTTTCTAGAAAATTCTCAAGACTATTCTTATGTAAGCACAAGTGAAGAATGAGTCAAAGCTCATTGTGACTGGTAAATTGAGACTACGATGCTCTCTAACGTCATACAAACAATTTTGGTAATAAATTGGTCGACAGCATAGGGTTATAAATAGATCAATGACATTAAATTTCAGGCAAATGGTCGATTTAGATGCATTTGATATGTCCCCTATACACATATAAAATGTACCACAAACTAAAAAACACAAGCACATGCAAACAGACGGAATACTTGTGAGGGCGCCGGATCTTAAAGTAGCCCGTGTTTGTGTTGTTTACTAATTGGCAAATACATAAAATGGTATCAGGGTAGAACTTAAGGTTGGTAAGCAAGTCGTATACCTTGCTTGGGACTTGTGCTTAGATTGACAATGTTTAAGAACAAAGTTGTGCTTAAGTATTTTCTTGGAACACACAAGAACGCGCTTGTGCTTACTCTGAAGTCTACTTACAATCTAAGCACAAGAATGTTTTTAAGAACTTTCTGGGAACACAAAATAAGGTAAGTTTACTTAAATGCAAAGTCTACTTAAAATCTAAGCACAAGAACGCGCTTAAGAATTTTCTAAGAATCAGGCTCTGGATTAGACAGCAAATATAATGTTTGAAATAAGAGCCTTTCGCGGAGAGAGGGAGAGGTGTCTGTGTTTGGAGGGGTGGGGGTATCATTCACATGGCCCTAACTATATCATTTCGGGACTAACATTTTGTATACATTTATTTCAATAATTCGGTTATGCGTCGTGGTCTTCAGTGGCGGGAAACCATAGTTTTCACCACGACGATATGACGAATTGAATCTACATGTATATACTGTTACGTGTGTAACAAGGAGGCCGCTATCTTTATTTGTCGTGAACCAAATGGATGTGCCTGTTGTAAATCCGATTGAATCCTAGGTAGTCGGAAGATTATCTAGGTACATTGTTCTTGTTTTTTAAATTAAATATTAAATAATCAATCTGGGTACATATTAGCGTTGGATAAGGCGTCAGAAATTTAATGTTTTCCGAATAAATGCAAATCACGCATCGCTGCTTTATATTTTTTCCATAATGGTTCCATATTCATGACACGTGTTCTTTTGTAATGAAACGAAATGGCCAGAATATTACTGAAACGTAAACTTTGGGTGCCGAAATACACTACATGAACAACTTATATATCATACGGGGGGGGGGGATGACCGAATGGTAAGCGCGTGCGCGCTGTATCATAAGGTCTGTCATTGAGTCATCTGGCGGGGTGTCGATTCCCCGGTTGTACGTGGCAAGGAGTAGGGTCGCCTATCCAACCTCGTGGGTTTTCTCCGGGTCCTCCAATTTCCTCCCACTGCTAAAGACCCTACGCGCAAGCGAACTACTGAAATAAAATTGAACCATAGTCCCGAAATGACCTAGTTTGTGTCGAGTGGACATTAAACCCCTTTTCTCTCTTTCTCTCTATATATATAAATCATACTGATTCCGGACACATGTAGATATGTCATAAAGCTAGTAGCCGCCTACTTTCGTTCACGCCAGCCTAACATAATCCGCTCACATATATAAAAAATAATAATCACATAATCAACTTTTGAGATGGAGCTTCGTGTATTTTTTTTTCTACAAGGCGTTTGATAAGCTTATACTGAATATTGACCAGCAGCAAGTAGTAAGTAATCAAGCTGTAAACTACCATATTTGTAATAAGTATATTCATAGCCTGCTGTTGTACATTGGGAACAAAGTGACAAACAATTAAACCAAATACCGAAGGAAATAACTGGAAAAGATTTTACAGGATATACCACAAAACACCAGAGAAAGGGAAAAATTTGGATTCCGAAGCAGGTAAATATACTTTTAAATCTTTGTTGGAATGTTGTTGGAATTTTAATATTAAGTTATGATTACGTGGACTAAATTACGTGAATTTGTGTCTCACAATTAAACCAAAAAGGGGAAATGTGTGGATTCTGAAGCAGGTAAAATATACCAAATTAAATTTCATAATTATTGTTGTAATAATATTACGTTATGATTGAGTGGACTACTATAATAATGTTCCATTGTATAACTCTAATTGGTGTATATTTAAACATCGAAGATAATGATGGTTTCTCAAGATGGGTATCGAGTATTTAATATCATGTAGTTTGAAGATCCATCCGGGTTTGACTAGGCCCCCTGGCTTGGTTCGGTTTCTTGCATATCGGACACGTGTGGCTCTGAATATATATGTTTCCCCGTTTCATATGCTTTCTATTTTAATAAAAGCTGAAAATTGATTACTTCCGTTGCTTTTATTATTAGTATTATTATTATTATCACTTCGCAATTCCCCGCTAAAGAGTTTATAACAACCGCATTGGTTAGTTCTGGCGGGGGCGGTTCTAAAATACATCTCTCATTTGCAGCAAAACATAAGATCTTCCTGTTGTATATTTTGGGACTCTTAGAAAACGTTTGATTAATACTCTGAGTATATTTTTAGCATTGTTCAGTGACACCGTTCTTCTTTTTTGAAAAAAGAATAAGCTCTTTGGCAAAATTTTGCACATAAAAAGTCGCGCAAACTGCGATCATGAAATAGTCTGCAGTAATTAAGCTATAATTTTGATGTAAACATTGGTTTATGTATAACTGACAGCTTTTTAATAAAACACACTTTATCACATAATTCTAAAATCGGGAAAAATGGCAATAACTTAATAAAGCGTGCTTAAACATCAAAACACAGATCCTATTTCATTTCTTTTTTTTTTCTTTTTTTAAAAGTTCAAAATTTCATATTACCCTGTTTCTAATCTGATAGTGGAGACGAACGAAAGTATACAGTCTTAAGACCAACTAGAAATCAGCCAGATTTCTTCAAGTTTGGGAATGTGACCTC